TATTTTAGAAATATAATGCCACTTCCCCCATCCCATCCCAAAAAAAATTGAAGGCATGAGAGAACGCTAGTTGAGAGAAGAGGAAGAAAGAGGCTTAGCAGCCTAGCCGGAGACCAGCGTTCAAGACGGAAGCAATACTGTCTTTTTCCAGGTTTGATTTCACTCCAAACTTTATATTCTTTAGATATTCATTTGAAAAAATGTTATTCAATTTTAATTTCATATTTTTGTTTTATGTTTCTTATGTATTTATGTGATTTCATATTTTCATTTCATGTTATATGTATTTTTTGTTTGAATTTGTTGTTTAAATTCTTTTTAGATTATAACATTTTTAATAAATGTGTATTTGTTAGGCATAAGATCTTGTTATTATAAAACTATGAATTTTTTTATGTGAAAACCCCCTAAATAGGAGTAAAAGATATGTCATATCCCAAAATAGGATCTCAAACTTAAACTTCCCTAAATAGGAGTAATTATTCTAATCTCTATTAAACTGGGCTTTCACCCCTTTCGGATCAAATGCTATCATGCTCCTTTTTCTCTCTCCTTCTACACATTCTAACATGTGTCCCAGCCGTGCCGCATGATTCGCATGTCCATCTTAATCTCTCCAATTGGTCTTTTTCACATATTGAGAATGAATCAGAGCTTCAATTGTTCTTTTTCATGGGGTCTAGAAAATGTTAGGAAGTACATTAGTAAAAGATAGAGATACGATCCGGGCACCTTGATTTCTATTCCTTCTTATTAAATTTTGATTTTATAATAATAGAACTGAATTGTTATTTTTTTGTTTTTGACATTATACAGGAACAAGTTTGTCATTATGTAGTGATATGTTTGTCATTGTGATTGTCGTATTTGGCATTGTAGATTCGATTGCCACTCATGCTAGTCTTTGTTTTATTAAGAAGGAACATTTAACCATTATCAATGGCCACCGCCGTATATATACGAAATAATGCCGAAGATTAGTTTTTTTGCTATAATAAAAAAGGTACACAGTGTCATTGGATTTGGTTTGGCATTATGTCATTGTGTAACATTGTAACATTATATATGAGCATATACGTGGCATTATATATGAGCATCTATGGTATTAAATATTGTCATATGTGACAATACATGGTGCCATGTTTGACATTATTATGTCTTTCTTTGACACTGTATTGACTATTAATGTGGCACTGTGGCGACGATGGTGCAGATTTTATGGTAGTGTTGTTGATAAAGGTATAGAGCAGTGATATCGTCGGCGGTGACGATGAAAAATCAAAAGCGTCAATTGTAGGTTTCTTTGTAGCAGTGCGGCGGAGCAGAGGACGGCGGTGGTGAAGATTCAAGTGATAGTGGCAGGTATGTGGCGGTGACGATGGCGGCGGTGGGCATCACCATCGACGATGATTGCGACAGTGGTCGTCGCTGTCGGTAGCATGCTGTTGTGAAATTGGCCAAATTTTTTTTAGTTTTGAACTTAGCCACCACTAGTATTGGCCGCAAATGCAGCGCATGTGGGGAACATTTTTTTGTTTTATTAATTAAGTTAAAATCTTTATTTTAACTTTTTATAAAAAATAAAAAAAAATGAAAAAATCAAAAACATGAATGCAAAAAAAATAGTCCCATGTAGTTACTTAGTATAGTGCTCCTTAAGTTAAAATCTGATCATGCTCCTTACAAAAAAATGTAATCACTAGTATCGTTGCATGCATCTTAAAAAAATGTGCTGTGTGGGAGCATTTTTTTGTTTTATTAATTATGTTTTACTCCTATTTAGAGGAGTTCACGTTTAAACTTCTATTTTGAGGATATAACATATGTTTTACTCTTAGTTTGTTCCTTCTCCCTTTTGAAGGTAATAGTGTACATTCGGGACCATTGTATGAGACTTTTTTAAATCTAGAACCCAGTGAGCATAGAAGCGAGAGGGTCTGACATGATGTAGAGTACGCAAACGCTGCTTTAAAATGTGTTAGGCATTTTGGGAGCTTACAAGAGGGGGTGGTGTTATTTGGTCATGGGTGTGTTGCTATTTTACGAGGGTATGAGTTTTACAGGGCGGATCAAATGAGTAGACTACAACTTGATTGGAGTGGCTGAGAGTAATAATGTTATGTTGTAATTTAACAAAAAATGACTGAGATTAATAATCTTATTTTCTCGGTCATTGGGGTGGTCTGTCTCAAATTGAGAAGAAGTAAGTTCAATATTCTTTGAATCTGAAAAGAGGTTATTTGTTTGAACCTCATATCTCATACGAAGAGGTCAAAGCAAAACTTTTGAGTGCTCTCTAAAATGAAGGCTTGAATGCAAGATAGTGTCCAGATATGAAGTCCGGAGTGTATGCCACCTCCCGTGTTTTCTGACTCACTAACGAATGATAGCTTAGAGGTTTCCTTAGAATGGCTTCAGTGGAGTATGACCAAATTAAGGTCTACGTGGAAGCCACAAACAAAGAAGAAGACACACAAAAAGAGGAGGAAGCCGAAGAAGAACATGATGATGACAACCAAATCTTGTTTCACTACGATGAAGCAGAGTCGTCATACACCATGCCTCAAGGGTACTACAAGAGTGACTCAGATGACCCAACATGCGCAGAAGTTTCTGTTTATTAGCTATATATTTATTTCTATATGTCGTAGTGTTCGGTCCTGGCCCAATAGTCTTAGTCGTAGCCCATGTATTTTGTATATATACTCGTTGTGATTATTGAATCAACCAAGCAAGTTTACACAATTTCTACATGGTATCGGAGCCAATTCCAGGGCATAACGAAAAACCGTAGTTCCAAAAACCCTAGCGCCGTTTTTCTCTCGATGCTGTCTCTGTTTCACGCCGGCTCACGTCGGTAGTTCCCCAGCGCCGCCTCATGTTGGCAGATTCCCAGCGTCGCGCGTCGGCAGTTTCCCAGCACCTCGCTTCGGCCATCCCACACCGTCTCACGCGAGTGTACTCTTTTGACAGCTGCTGCTCACCTCTCGTCTCTCTCGTCAAGCCATGACAACCGAAACAAATAAGAAGGTCAGGTTGATCCACGATCCCACGTCTCTATATTACATTCACCCATCTGAAAGTGTAGGGAATTCTTTGACAAAACACTTGCTCAATGGAGATAATTATGATGTATGGGAGAAAACAATTGTCAATGCCTTGGAAGGGCGTAGCCGGGCTGGTTTCTTGACCCCTACGGGTTTTCCCAAGCCTACCGACGAACAAGAGCATGCGGCTTGGAAGGCCAACAATTCTATCATTTGTTCCTAGATATGTAATAGTGTCGATGAACACATCCAACCGTCGATTATCTCTCACAAAGTGGCTCATGAATTGTGGTTGGATCTGAAAACTCGGTATGGAGGATCGAATGGTCCTCGCATTCATCAACTCAAATCAGAATTTCAATCACTCTGACAAAAGGGTCAAACCGTGGTGGTGTACTACAACCAATTTGTGACCCTTTGGAGTAAATTGTATGGCTCGACCGACCCCACGTGCGGTTGCGGTTGTGAAGCGGTCGTCCATATTAGAGCTCGAGAAGAAGAAGAGAAGACTCATCATTTTTTGCTTGGTCTTGACGACAAACAATTTCGTCACATCCGGTGTCAACTCATAGCTACCGAACCCGTCCCCGATATTCACCAGGCTTATGCGTTGATTGTTCAAGAAGAACACCGTAAAAACATCGTTTGGGGTAGGGATGATCGGACTGGTGCCATGGCGTTTTCCATGTAGCGCCCTAGCACACCGCTGGCTCGTGGGGATCCTCCCATGTATTCATGCACTCATTGCGGTAAAGACAAGCACTCGAAGGAGCGGTGTTACCAGCTGCACAGTTATCCACCCGCAAAGGGTCGTGGCCGTGGGGGAGTTTCTGGCGGCAGTTTGTCAGCCGGTCGAGGAGCAGGCCTGGCGACAGGGGGAGCACATGCCGCAGGGGGGTCTACCCCGAACAGCCCTTTTGGCCTCACCGCGGACCAGGTCTCTCGTCTCCTATCCATGCTCGACACGCCTTCTTCTGACAAGGGTACCAGCACGGGTGGTGAGACTTCCAATCGTGAGTGGCTCTTAGATAGCGGCGCCTCGCATCATATGACTGGTAATATCTTGTATTTGTCTGATATTGTGCCCATCACGCCATGTGTTATTACTTTGCCTAATGGTTCTCACACTACCGCCACCTGATGTGGGCGTGTTCGTCTCTCCTCGGAGGTCCTTCTACGGGATGTGTTGCTCGTCTCGGAACTCAAATGCAATCTCATTTCTGTTGGATGTCTTATTCGGGATCATACTTGTATGGTTATTTTTAACAAACATTGTTGTGTTATACTCCCTCCGTCCTATAATGATCTTCCCAGAGCACTATTCCAACTTCACGGGAATTTATATTTATTTGTGTTTTTTCATGGCCTATATGATAAAATAAAATATTCTTGTCACCACTTGTTTTGTTAAACTTTTGATGTAGTTTTTAAATATGTATGTTTTATTTTTTATTTCTATACCAATATTTAAATAAAATAGATTGAAAAAACTTGAGATTTTTCTTCGTTTTACGAACCGGGAAGATCATTATAGGACGGAGGGAGTACAAGATTGTGCCACGAAGATGTTGATTGGACGAGGTAGCGCTCACAACGGAGTGTTTCTTTTTCGTGCGTCTAGTCCGGCGTTTGCTAGTCAAGGGGATCCCATTCTTCTCCACAAGCGTTTGGGCCATCCTTCACCTCAAGTTTTGTCTTCTCTTATCCCTGTTCCCAGTAGTTCCAAACTCAAATTATTACAGTCTTGTGAAATTTGTTTCCAGTCTAAACAAAGTCGTAGTAGTTTTCCTCTCAGTTCAAATAAAGCTACTAGTGTTATTTATTTAATTCATTGTGATTTGTGGGGAGCTTACACCCGTGTTTCCTGGATATCATTCCCTTGCTGTTTGAGCTTGATTAAAGAAAAATCGGAAGTAACTAGTTGCCTTAAACAATTTTTTAGCATGATCCACACCCAATTTCATAAAATTATTAAGGTTTTGGTTCTGACAATGGAACTGAGCACTAGCTCTGAGCCTCTGATGATGGATCGTCGGTTTCTGGCGAAGTCATGCCGCCGGACCTAAATGCTCCGGTCGATTTTCAACATTTTGGAATATATAGAAACGTTGAACACGTATCACTAGAATCAATGTTTCCCGTACCTGAGATCGAAATCTGTCAGCAGTAGGTTAGCATTCAAAGTTTGGAGGTTTCGCTTCGAAACATAGCATAGCAAGGTTTTCGCTGGGCAGTCGCAAGACTATTCACGCCCAACATAATCTGATGCTTCCGCCTTGATTTGTTGCTCATTTTGGAGCTCTAAATTTGTCTTCAGCAGTGGAATCCATTTTTTTTTGAGCTTTTTCGCTGGACTTGTGTGAGATTTGAAGGTCAACGCCTCAATCGCTACTGTTCATCGAGAACTCTTGAGCGCGATTTCTCCTTCGTCTTGCTAAATTGGAGCATGCATTTTGGATGTTTGGATTCGTCTTCACCAGATGAGTCCACCTCTGACTTCAATTTGATGGATTTTGGCAAGAATTCTGCTGAATCAATGAATGAAGGTCTCGAGTTTACTGTTCATCGCGCGAACTTGAATTCCAAACTCAATTCTGTTCATGCTTAACTCATGGCCAATCCTTTGGGGATATTGAGCGACCTGGTAAGCTTCTTCTAATTCTTAAATTGAGTTTTGTTCCAGTTGAAGAATGCATTGAATTGAGGAAGATATGAAGCTCGTCGCCACTGTTCACAGTGCGATTTTGAGCCCTCTGGTTCATCAGGTCCCTGCTCCTTTTCCCTACTGTTTGTGCGGGTTTCCTTGGTGTTTTTGTGATGATATCTCATTACTTGTGTTGGCTTTGACTGGTCCTTTGATGATTAATTGTGTGATGTCTCTTGAAATGTAGTGAGGATGAGAAAGGTTGTCTAGCTGCATTTGGTACTGCCATTCTTTCTAAATAGCAAATTTACTGGGAAGGGCCATTCTACATGATTACAACAACATTGGTAACATGAAGGAAGCTACTGGAATCAATGGAACGTTCTTGAGCTGCTATTCTTGAACTTTGAATCAGCTGTTGTTTGTGAACCACGTTATTCTTACTGTTCTTGAGCCGCTATTTGAATGATGCAAGTACAAGACTTATGGTAAACATGCTGGTTTTGTGGATTAGAAAGGACTGATGATGCTTATCTTGTTTTGGACCTGGTTAGGCTGCAATTCTCACTGCTATTTGATGGAGGAAGGCAGTGACTTTTTGCTGCCAGATTGTCCTACTGGTGGGACTTTTGTTCACTTTTTTAAAGCTTGTTTTGACCTGAATGGCGATTGTGTTTTTATTTGTTTACCTTTTGCGATCCTAGTGAGGATGGATTGGTCTTTGAGGCTTGTATTGCTCGGTTTGGAGTGGCTGAGCTGAGCTTCTTTTCGGCTATTTTGGACGGTCAGCTCTATTTGTGTGAAGGCATTACCCAATGGGTTTTAGGTTGGGTTTGTTGTGTTACTTTTGCCACTGTTGGGGGATGTACTAACTTGTGTGAAGAAGGATTCTTGGCCATACTGGAAACCTCTGCCTTTGTTCTTCTTAAATCTTAACCCTTTCAGACTTTCAGTTGGGGAATTTGGAGGACTTTTTGGGCAATTTTGGCTAATAAATTACTTCTTATATGGCTATCAGGCTGTTTTTACTCAGGTAATGGAGGTTGGTTTCGTTGGACTGCCTATCTACGTGTTGTGCCAAAACTTAAACCGAGGACAGCAGTGGATGAAGGCTTGTAAGATAACCTAGTGAACTCGTGCATCGTCTTTCTGAGGATGATTGCCAAATGCCATTGCCGTCTCTGAACGGCCGAGTGTGTTGCTCTGGTTAATTTGGCATTAAAGTTGTCTTCTTCGACGCGGGTGGACAACTTCTTGCACTCGTGGCATGGCCCACTTGGCATGTCTCTGGGAAAATTAACCCTCTTCATTGACGGTTTATGGTTCCTAGGGCTATATAACAAATCACCTGCCTTGGGTGGATGATTACTCAATGGTATGGGTCTCGGTGGGTAGACCCCACCATTTGAGGAGTTTGTGTACATAGGAGATGATGATGTTGCTTGCGCCTTTGGGAAACCTTTTTGTGATGAGTTTGGAAGTACTTTGGTCTGACGATCATGGAAGAACTTTGGTACCTGGTCCTTGTAGAGGGAGTATGTGTTGGTTGAGCTGTCAATGCCTTCAACATATGCTCCCTCTATGCTCTTGTTTTTGGCTTACCATACTACTGCTCTTGGTGATGCATGTAACTAGAAGCTTGGAATTAGTTTTAACAAGGGTTTGGACTTGGGGTATCCATCTGTTGAGTATGACTTGATTCATGTTTAGTTTGTTTGGCCTGCGCGCCACAATTATGTGCATTTGTTTTAGCTGATATTTAGATATCTTGTATTGGTTTGTTGTTGTTTTTGTTCTTTCATATGCATGGAACCATTCCTATGGTTCGACATTTGTAAATTATGTACTTTTCTAATTTGGGTAATGATAACTTACATGTCACCCGTTGAAACATAACATAACAGAGACACTTTCGCACACATGTGAAACATGCCAAATATTGGAAGGCAAAATGCTCCTATGCTGAGCAATGCTCGTGGATGATCTAGGCTGCTTAGGCTAATAATTTTTCGCTCCGGACTATCAATCAATACAAGGGGAAACATTCGTGTAGATAGACTACACCAAAGAGAGGGATGACAAGCTCATTACAAGTGAGCTTATTATTGGAATCATTATTTCAAAAATTACGGAGGATGCGGATTACAATATCAAATACCTCTTCAAAAATGTGTATGATTTGTTCCAAGTAACCGCATCCTACAAAAAGGCATGGTGCAAAAGGTTGGATGCAATTCAATATCCTTACGGGTCATGGGAGAGCTCGTATAGTAACGTACCTCCACTACATGGAGCTATAATACAGTCTAATCCTAGCACAATCGTGAAACTACAAACGTGGCCAATTATCTCTCAAGACAAGTTTAACTTCGTGTATGTTTTCTTGACATTCTGGGCAGCTATAGATGGGTTCAAGTCTTGCTTCTCAGTGGACTCTGTCGATGGCACTCACTTGTACGGTAAGTATAAGGGGGTCTTAATATTGGTTGTGACAATGACAGCCCACAAGATTATTCCCTTAGCTTATTCGATTGTTAATGTAGAAGACGAGGATAGTTGGACTTGGTTCATGAAACATTTAATGTGTCATGTGGTACCAGCTCAGATGCCTGTGTGCACTATTTATGATAGACATGGTGGAATTGATGTAGCACTTAAGACAGTGCCCCGGTCGAGTGACGCGGATATATTACCTGCAACACCAAAGGAGTAATTTTCAGAAAAAATGTAATAGCAAGAAGCTTAAGGGTCTAATGTACCATGCTCTTAGTATGCTAGATATTAAGGAGTGCCACGAAACGCTGCAAGAAATATCGTCACGACTTCTTCATGCATACACTAGTTAGTGGCCTTATCGATCGGCACCATCTTACGATGGTGAGGCAAAGTATAGAATTCTTACAACTAATCTTTCAGAAAGCTTTAATCAAATCATGAAGGGATGTTGGAGTCTACTGATATATGCTATTGTTCAGACCACGTACGAAAGATTAGTCAGATTTTTTACGAAAAGGCACAAACAAGGATTCACATGACAAGAGACGGGATACAAATATCCAAAGTACATTTGGAGCAAAGTAAGGCGTACGGAAGATACACGATTGCATTGTCGTGTTCTACCACAACATATCGAGGAAATTATTTATCGTTTAATTGTAGGGGGTATCACTAGAGGTACAAATAACCAAGAGACATTTTCTGTATACCAAGCCAATTGGTGGTTAGCATGTGGGAAATGGACTATGTTTCACATGTCATGTGACCATGCATACGCAATATGTCATTACAATCGAATCATGGTAGATCAATACATTCCATCGACCTTCTTAAATCAATCATACATAAATGTCTATTCAGGAAATCTAATGCCACTTCAACCATGATGGGGTAAATTGCTACCCGAGCAAACTACTCTAGACTGGGTCTAGGGTAGTATGCTGAGTTTAAATACTGAAAATGTTGGAATGCATGAGTTCAACCTTTTTTGTACTATTAAGTGTTGACTCACGGCTTTTGATAATTGACAAACACAAGTTATTCAAATCAAGAATAAAGTGCTACATTGACAAACACAAAGATTTGAAGTGCCAAATCACTTGAAGTACTCAAGGAGTACATGATTTAATGAAGACCAAAATGCCTAACAGAGTGCCTAACAGAAGTGAAGAAGAAGATTTCCAAAGACTTTTAATTTATTTGAGTCTTAGGGAATATTGTAAGGATGACAAAAACATTATTTACCCCAAAATTATTTTTATGAGAGTTAATATAAAAAATTTAGTTATTTTAGAGTTAGTTGAAAAATCCTTTTTTAACTGTTCAAAAATATTTTTTAAGTCATTTACAAAAAGTGTGTCAACATTTCTTAAAATATCTTTATAAGATATAAAAATTTTTGTGGTTAAGAAAAATATCTTTTAAATATATTTTTTTGTACATCGTTTGACACACAATATTTTTGTGACTCATTTCTACACCAAAATTCCTTTCATTTATTCGAAATTTAATTTTGAATAATAATTAAGTTGATGGGGAGCCTTACCCCTGATTTTTTTGTTGGAAACAAACCAGAAAGGCCAAAAACTCATTTCATCTTGCACACATGCATGTGGTCTACTTGTTTGGGCATTAATTTCGTCATTGGATCGATCCCCTGCGTTGGATCGATCAAAAGACTTTTTCTTGTGCGCAAACTTTCTTTTGTGTGATCGGTCATCTGGACTGGATTGATCACGCGAACTCTTGTTCCTAATTTTCCTTAAATTTTTAATCATGGTGATCAATCACAAGGCTTGGATCTGAGCTGAAATCTGCCAAAAATATTTCAACTCTTTCCCCAACAGATTTATTCCTTCCATCTCTATAAAATCCCTCTTCCTCCTCCATAAGAGATACTTGAAACACTCTAAAAACACCTCTTTCTTGTGGTCTTAATCCTCCATCAATTCCTTCCTCAAATATAAGTTATTTTGAGATAAAACTATTTATTTTCAAGAGAGTGTTCTTGTCATTCATAGAGCTTAATCATTTTCTCATTTCTACTCTTGTGAGAGTTTTGTTGTGAGGTTGAAGAAGGTTACTCTTCCCTTTTTACAAGACTTATGTGACTTAAGTCTTGGGTGTGAAGTCTTACAGAGAGCACATCTACGAGCGGTTGTGTTGAGGCTTGTGAGATTTAAGTTCTCGGATTGTAAACGGTTTGTCAAGCACCCGTTGAAGCTTGATTAGTAGTGGTAGCTTCGAGATGATAAGCTACCTGACAGATCACCTGGGTGGTTTCTCAAAGGATGCAATCTGGTCGTTCAATGATCTGACCTTGTCATGCCACTCGATTAGTCACTCACAAGCCACACAGGTGGTCAAGTTGGACCCGACCTGGATTGTGGATAAATTCGCCCAAGCTGCCCTGGTGCGCATTGTTTGGACCTTCCCCGGTTGGTTTCATCTTTGTTCAATCATGTTGGTTCATTATCATGTTAGTACACCAAGTTCTGGAAATTCACCGAGGTGGTTTTCCGAAGGAAAGTCCTGATCACTCGAAATATTGCACAAAGTCCTGCTCATTCAAAATATTGCAAAGTCCTGGTAATTCCACCATGCAATATTTTGAATGGGGTACACCTTAGGTCAGACATGTTTTTTGAGACGTTTAAAAAGGAAAATAGGTAATTTTTTTTTTTTGAATGAGCAATATAGTAGAATAACTTTTTTGAAAGTTTTTTGTAAGATAAATACAATGAAAATCTTTTTGTACTGAGATACAATAATTCCCTCCATCCCAAAATTTATGTTATATTTTGGTTCGTTTCATTCTTAACTTTCAGTCATCTTTTGCATGATACCATCATAATCACCGCATCCAACAGAGAAAAGAACCGCAAATTATATTATACATCCGGTTGCACCCAATTTTGGGTACAACCAAAAAATTATTTATTATATCAATTTTATTTTACATGAGAATGAACACTAAGTTATTTGAGAATGAGTACTGTTTTATTTCAGAATGAACACTATATTATTTGTATATGAATATTATAATTATATTGAACCAATGTGTGAAAATGAGTACTGCATTACTTTAGAATGAGTACCATACTAATTGTATTTGTGCGAGAATAAGTACTACTCTACTCCAGAATGAGTACTACCTGGATGTACCGTACATCCGGTTGTACCGTATACCTTCTCGAAAAGAACAGAATTTTGCCGTTTAGGGCATTCATGCACAGATACCATTAATTTTTTTTATCTGTTAGTTCTTTCCTCTTAAACTATTCAATCTTAAACTTTGGATGGAAGAAGATGGGGAAAAAAACACAGAGCATTCAATCACATCTTACTCGCATGTTTACCAAACAAAGAATGTCGCCCCTCTGCAATAAGTTCCCCTGTCAATTTGTTTCTCACAAGGACACTTGTCCCAGAATAACAACCTCTTTTACCTAGGCATCTCCCAGTAATCTCCAGTTCATCCTGCCAGTAAGCCAGCCATACACAGTGTCACTAAAATAGAAGGGGAATTCAACACAAACAGATGCCAACATATAATGCTCATTCAATACCTAATCTAATTATGAAGCCAAGTCATGAAGGAAAATACAGTTAAGAGGCTATCTTAGTTGACTACTCATTTGGTGATTTAAGCTGTTCTTTTTTTTTCATTAAATAATGGAGTACAAATTCCCCATCTCATTGGGGGCGGAAAACTATATCAAAATAGTACATTTGAACTTCCCTTGCTTCTTACTTATGAAGTTTTGGGCAGTAAATGCAACAATGCCACTAACCGAAACAACCTCTATGTTTTTTACAGGAGAAAGGTTGCATATATCTTGACTAAACCCCGAGGAAGTTGGGATTGTACAGGATATGTTGTTGCTGCATGAATGGATGAATCGCGTTTAATGGGTTCTTCTAGCAGCACATTATAAGCCTCTCCCCATATGTGATGCTTCCTCTCCCTCTCAAATAGCTAATAATAATTCCTATCTCCCATTTAGTAGTTTCTAAAACTATACACAACAATAACAGATTCTACTCCCCCCAATTGTTTGACATTATGTAACCCCAAACCTGTCGTTCAAATTTTGTAGCACATGTTTGACTGTATTTAAGACTAAAAACAATGTAACTCACAAGGTTATTATTAGTGTTAGAATTATTTTTATGGGTGGAGTTATTTTGCTGCAAACCCTCAGTGTCCATGTGAGGTCCCCTGCCTTTGACAACGAAACTTATCCCGTTCTACCCCCCTAACTGTGTCATATTTTTATTTTTATTTTTCTTTGCCATGGAAGAAGTGCTTTTCTAATGAAATTGCATCCCAAAACATGTTATGACTAATCGAATTTCTACTTGCCACACATTTTCTATCAAACACTAACCTGTAGTGCTACATTAACTTAAATCTGCTAAAGATGAGGAAAATACTACAGAAGTTGATATCTTTCTTCGTCTTTTCGAGGAAATGAAGATAATTGACATTTGTATAAACATCTTTTGATAAAAATATTCCTTTAGATCAACAAAAGAATGCATTTTTAATACATTCTTGGATATTTCAGTTCAATTAATCATTACTCCCTCCGTCCGAGTTGAAACTTCTCGTTTTGACTTGGCACGGTTTTTAAGGAAAAGTGTAAAATGAGTTGATTTTCCTATTTTACCCTTCCAATTGTCTGGTTCCCTTCAGTTGTTCTTCCGCCCTGCCCTAATAGCCTTTCACCTTCTTCAACCTCAACTCCTTCCTCAATCTTCTTCTTCAACCACACCCGTCCTTCAAATTCAACCACTCCCAAGCCTCTTCTTCATATCAAACCCACCACTACCCTCTTCCAAAACTCTTGTAGAACTCTTATTGAAGAAAATTTGAAATTCAAAAAATAATTGAACTCTTACTCAAGAATAAAAGACCAAAAAGTAAGCTTTGCCGCCGTCGAATGGTCGTGAAAGCTTAGTCCGAGGAGGACTATGGAAGGATGCCAGATCTGATTGTTTTGTTGTTGGATCTAGTCAAACTTAGGAATAAAATTTAAACCCTTTAACTATGAAAAGGAAAAAGGCCTGAATCTAAAGCTTCGAGCGTTGCTGCCAAAGCTCTTTAACTATGACGGAGGAACGAGTGTCGGGATCTGAATCCTCCCGCCGTTTCTGTTTGTCTCTGCCCGAGCGTTGCTTCCAAAGCTCTGCAAAGAAAAANGGGGGGGGCGTATATGGGGGGTAAGAAGAAGAAGAAGAAAGAAAGAAGAGAAGTGTGGGGGCGGGGGTGAGAAGAAAGAAAAAGAAAGAAAAAAAAGAATGAATGGGGATGTGACGTAGAAGCAAGGAAGAAAGGAGGAAAGGGATAGGGAGAGAGGGAAAATAGAAAAGAAGGGTAAAATAGTAAGTTTAAGTATTTTTTATTTCCATTTTAGGAAATGGGAAGAATCAAGTGGGACGGCCTAAAAAGGAAATTGAGAAGAAAGATATGGGACGGAGGGGAGTATATCTTTTCAGCCACAAATATGTGCCTATGTATTTGGTGGAGTTGATCAAAGGGAAGAGGAAAATCACATTAACCCTACTTCTGAAACACATGCTTCCAATTTATCTTAAAGCATATACTACATATAATACTCCTAACCCTGCAAATATCTTCATTTTTTTGTCCGTCCCAAAATATCATCACTTTCCTCTCAAGGAAAAGAGTATGAGGATAAAAAAAGTATCTTTTTAACAAATTCTAACCACACCTTTTCCACTTTTCTTGAACTCTGTGCAAGTTAAACATAGAAGATTTTTATGGGATGAAGGTAGTAACATGCTAAGGATCACACAGGATCACCCTTGTGCTCTGTATCCACAAAACTGATAAGATAGTTCAAATTCATCAGAAAAGGGTTGCAAATTGTCATAGAAGAAAACCAAACCAAACAAACCCAATATATCCCACTCAAGACAAGGGTATTTGGGGTCAAAATGTATGTAGATCTTGCCTACTACATTACCCCAGTGTCAAAACGGCTCCCGCCCATTGTGGGGTAGGGGGACAGATATACACAGTCGGAGTCGGAGTCGGACCCTATGTTTAAAACATAGAGTGACTCTTTCCAAATGACCCATGATGAGTGTCGAAAGTTGCATTGACTAACTGCTACATCACAATTGCAAGAAGGACAAACAATTTAAAGAGCTAATTAGCTTTATTCCATCATACCCCAAAGCCAAAAAATAGTGAATCTTTGGCTCCACGGGGGAATGGAAATAATAGATTAAATTGAGGCCATAATTTATTCCATCATATCCCAAAGCCAAAAAATAGTAAATCTTTGGCTCCGAAGGGAATGGAAATTATAGATTAAATTGATGCAATAACAGAAAACGCACATAAAGCTGTTTTGTTCTTTTTATTTCTTATTTTTATCAAAGAGCTCCTGAGATAAACCAGAAACGCTATCAAAAATGCAGAATCCCAAAGAGAAGGGCGAAAGCTTAACCCTATGTTTAGTTTGTGAAATTCAAAAGAAATGAAAGGAAGTGTTTTCCTTCTTTATAGTTCATTTCTTCTTCCACTTATCTTTTTTTCCCTTCTCTAACCAAACAAGAAAAATTGTTTCTCCAATCATTTTCTATTTTTACCCCTTGCAAATTTCTTGAACCAAACATAGTGTAAATATAAGGCAAATGAATGAGCAATGAAGAGCCAAAAAGCAACACAAATTATTTCTGTGAAATATACGAGTCAAAATATCTATAAATAAAACGAAATTCAGATCAACAGCAGATCAAATAGGTAAAAAAAATGCTGGGAATAAGACTGTCTGAAAGAGACAAGAGGCTTACATTAAGTTTTGCAGTAGAGAGGTAAGAGATGGACATGTCCACAGACACATTCATTGGGAGACCCTCCACGTACACGACCGCGCCCCCAACTTCATCAACTAGGTTTGCAATCGCACCAGATGCCAGTATTCCATCTCTATCCTGCAAGGATCGAATCGGAATGTTTTCTCCACAAACAAATAAATAAAAAATCGGAGCTCAGAAACTGGAAATCAACGGAAATGGAAGGAAGAATTGGAAGAATAGAGTGCAGGAGAGTTGATCGGACTCACGGTGAGGCGACGGGGGACTTTGAAAGTGCAGAAGACGGAGCCGGGTTCGACTCGGTCGACTCGGATTCCCCTGACGGCGTAGTACTCGTAGAAACTGGACTCGACGCTGACGCGGTGAGGATGAAAGGTGAGTGAGGACAGTATCTCCAATTCCTCCTTGCTCGTTCCTTCCATTAAAGCTTTTGGCTTCTCCATTTCTGTGCTTTTCTTTTTTTCTGCTTCGTTTCCAATGTTAGGTCCCCCTCAGGTTTGAACAATTGAACAAATGAAATGCGAAAATGGATTTACGAAGTACATACTCCGCATGTATTTTTTTAAATTTGTACCCAACATATAATAATTATCAAAATAATATTCATTGATTTAGAATAATGCTCAGTTTATTCCACCCGACTAACGGCTATGAAAACATCATTAAAATGACTTTAGAACTTATGCCAGTTTCTTAAAATGGCTCATTCTAATTAGATGTTTTCTAAATTAGTCTATTTCTGAAATAAAAAATTATTATGGATAGTTAATTCTAAATTTTATAGGATGAGAATACAACAAATAAAAGTTAAAATATAATTTCATAAATTTGAAATCAAACATTATAGATTGTTTAAAATTATATAGAAGAATATCATGTAAAAACTTTTTAATAAACGCTTCTATCTGTTCAGAAATAACAACCCTGCTTTGTTTTATAATGTTCATCAGAAGTTATTTTCAAATAAGTATGACTCAAAACTAGTCTAGAATTTTCTTTTAACATGTGTCTTATTTAGGACAAAAGAAGAATTATGAATTTAGAGTATACTTTTAGTTTTTATTTATTACTCCTTCAGTCACATTTTATATTTCATGTTTTGAATTTGGAGCATATTTAAGGAAGGAAAAAAATAGGGTTGACTTTCCAAAAATGCACTTATTTTTTTAGGAGAGCGGCGATGATGAGAAGATAAGTTAGAGAGTAATGACTTATTTTAGGGGTAGTTTGGGTATTTTACCCTTAAAAGTTTATTATAATATAGAAACAGACAACTTATTTTGAGACGAACAAAAAAGAGAAACGGGCAATTGAAAATGAGACGGAGGAAGTATATTATCATCCTATAAAATTTAAAATTATTTTTCTATGCTTGTTAAGTTTTAATTAAAAAACTAGACACATTTGGGAAAGAACACAATTAGAAAGAATCATTATCTAAAATTAGTATAATTTTTAATGTCATCTCAATAGTCATTACTCGAAAGACCTAACTGAGTATTAATTCTAATTAATAACTATCATCTCGGTCATTAGTCAATTTTAGAAATTAGTGTGAGAAAAACATATAGATATTGAGTACTTATATCCCAATTTAAATTGCCTATTTTAGTTTTAGGATATATATATATATATATATATATATATATATATATATATATATATATATATATATATATATATATATATATATATATATATATATATATATATATATATATATATATATATATATATATATATATATATATATATATATATATATATATATATATATATATGTATATGTATGTGTGTGTGTGTGTATATATATATATATATAGTTTTAGGATAGAAGGAATACCAAGTAAAAAACGTATGGTTAAAATTTATGTAAAGAAAAGAAATTTTTTGTGACCAAGCTTTTGTTTTTTAATAAAGAAAAATAAAAAATTTAGTGTGAGCTTTACTTTGGGAGGGTGGATGTATAAACTATTCACAATGTTCGAGAAGGTGTAAATGAACATATATAGGTAAACATCATTGAATTGCTAAAGCAAGAGAGGGGTGTACTGGCATGGCAAACATCAACCATTTAGAAAAATGGCATCCTAAAAAAAGGCATCAATCAAGAAATAACCAGAGCATTGGTATCATTTTTCCCAAAGCCTATGCCCAATCCGAAAGGTGCAGATTCACTTCTACTTTTGCTACTGCTACAACTACTATGAGTCCAGTGTAAAGAATGAAGAAGAAGATGATGATTGTGAAGGCCACATGTGTTATTCACATCAATAACGACATGGTTGTTTCGGTCGGTCTGTTGAGAATGGGTAACCCCATTTTGCAGATTTGAATTCATTGTCATTTGCACCATCCCCCCAATTCTTCCGGGATGAGGGGATTCGTCTTCTTTGATGTACTCAGTATCTTCGTTGTTTAAGAGGGGTTGAAACCATCAATTTTACGAATGCCGTAGGGCCCTCGGGTCATCCCATGACATTACTAAACAATGTCAAGGGAACCGACTACTTGTTTAATAAAAAACTACACAAGTCCCTAATATTATGGGACTAGAGGAATGCAACAGAAGATCCAACAATAATAACAAGTCGCTTATTCCCTACTTCTCTGAACCACGGTTGCTGAAAAACACAAACATTTACGCTAGGGTCATAGTAAAAAAATGGAAAGATATCCTAACTGGCTAAGAAAAGAGTATGCAAATACATTCTGCAAGTAATATGTCTTAGTCACCAGAATAATGCAAGTTTGTGTGCGGCGAAGGCATATGTCATGTCCCCCCACAGGTAGCAGATCAATTCCTTTTTTACACAATACAAGAATAAGTATGTATGCCTGAGATACTAACGTGTTAAACCTGACAATAAATTGCACCGAAAATTAAGACACAAACCTGAGAAGCTTGAGTCACTGTTAAGACAGTGACCCCAGAACATAGGAAAAAATGTGCAACTAAAAACATTATGGCGCCAACATGCTGTGTACCAGCATGGTTTAACCATGCACCAAAAGAAGATGGGGCCATAGGATGATCTATCAAGAGTCCTGCAATGCCGAGAGCTATTTTAGTTGGTTCATCAAGGAGCACAAAGGGAACATCATGCTGGCATACAAATCTGAAAACCTATCACTTGAAAAGAGATGCTCACTCCCTCTGTCCCGCAAAAAAAAAAAATTCACATTTCCTTATTGGTATGTCCCAAAATAAGGTTCCACTTTACTTTCAAGGAAAGAATTGTGTGGTTCATATAATTTCTCTCATCGGCATTGGAAGGTGTAAAAAATGGAAAAAATCTTACTTGTAAGAGAGACGGAACCCGTTATTAGCATAGACAGCACCTCAAGAACAAGAAAGATGAAAAAATCCCATTTGTTTTTCTGAATGAGAAGGTTCGCTATTAGTCAAGTTGTAATGAAATGTATGAGCCAGATATTTACATGCACTATATAGGTCTATAGTATACTACAGAGTACAAGATAAAAAGGTATATCTCAAACTTAATCACCTTTCCAATGCAATTTGATACCCACGGGCAATGATGATCGAATTGTTCCACACAACGATCACATGTGGAACAGTGTTTTGCACGAAGAGGACAGACAATCTGGTAAAAGTAAAACATCAAACATATCACAACAAAGCTTCGAGGCAAGGGAAGCTGATTACCTTGCATGTGGAGCAAAGCTGAGACCAGTTTCCCGCAAGCAAAGCAGGGTGGTTAATTTCAATCTTCAATAACGGTTCCTAATACAACAACCAAAAATTCAAATTCTAGAATGCAGATCTTAACTAGAAATATTATTACTCGTGAGGCTTTCTTTTCCGGGCATACATTCTAGAATGCAGACTTACTATCACCCCGTATCGTATGTATCCCATTTGCTAGATTCGGGGTTGATATCATTGGAGCATTCCCAATGGCTCAAGGAAGGAAGAAGTTCGTAATTGTGGCCATCGATTACTTCACCAAATGGATCGAAGGTGAAGCGTTGGCCAATATCACCACGCAACAATGCAAGAAATTCATTTGGAAGAACATCATCACAAGGTTTACAGCTCCCATGAATCTCATCACCGACAACGGCCCACAATTCAGAAATCCAAAGTTTACTGAATACTTGGAGGTCTTCGGAATCAAACACAATCGCTCTTCCGGCGACTTTGACCGGCGGGCGGCGGCGGCGGGGCGTGGTAGAAAAGAAAAGAAGAAATGAGGTCAAATTGAAAATTTTAAAATATATAAAATTCGAATTTGGCCCTAATGACCGGAAGTTAACCTAGAAACGGGCTAATGGCTCATTAGTGAAAGGATTGTGTAAGTTCAGGGATTTTTGTGAAAAGATTTGAAGTTCAGATACCACTTCGAAATTTCAGCTAAAGTTCAGGTACCATTTGTGAAATTTACCCTTACACGGGCCCATGAGGTTTGACCAGTATCAGGGAATCAGCTGAAACCGTCAAATTGATTGGGGACTAAAAGATGCCTATTAAAAGAAATAGAAGAGGATCGTTCACCGCAATGCATCCTATTCCGACTGGTTCGGATTCCCCCTTCTCAGGGAAGACTTGAACGGGGGGTGAGCTAAGGCCTTCCCAGGATAGTAGAAATCAAAGGGCCATTAAAAGACTTAATCACCCGGAAGAGGGGGCCCTGGAAGAAGGGTGCATTTGAACCTTAGAGAGGGTTCGAAACCATTCGACATGGTTAAATCTCTAGTATTCTTACCAGTTAAGGATACTCCAAGAAATTACTAGGTTACAGGTGCATCCATCTACAACCTACCGGTGAAACAAAAAAAAAAAGGAATACCTCGGTTGGGTATTGATTCAACGGAACTTCGAAGGTTCTTCAAGGCAAATCAGTTAACCGGTCAAACCGTGAAGAGGAGACCTACCAGTTAAACGGAAGTTGATCATCAGAAAATATGTAAAGCATAAGTTGAAGTTACACCAGCAGAAGCTAATCAAATCCAGGTGAAAGCTAAAGATTCAAAGAGTTGGTGGCATTTTGTACCGGTTAAACAAAAAGGCATTCGAAAGAGCAAAGATAATCGGGAGAAGAAACAAACATCGCATTTAACCAAAATAAATGTTGATTGTTATACAAATACACCGGGCATTCCCGGGGAAATTGAAGATATTCAAGTTTTAAATTACACCGGGCGCAGCCGTGAAGATCTAATCTAAGGGGAAGGGGGGAGTAGGCTCTTCCTCAGGGATGGGGGCCAGGCCATATGAGGCAGCGCTGAAGTCCGGGTCTCTTTTCAGCAAGACCCGGTGAGAAGCAATCCGGTCCTTCTTTTGACCGCTCTTGAATCTGAACGATCCAATCGCGGTGATCAACTTCTTTTCTTCAGGCTCCTGGTACAGAAACCTGAAGGATTCCATGGTGGCCTCCGGAGTTGCGGTCATCACCCGGGCGGCTTCAGCTTTGTTCTCTTCAACCCAGGCAGCTGCAAGCCCGGGGAAGTCTTTTTCCTTCTTCGCCATTTCCCGCTTGGCTTCAGAAACCTCATCCAGCAGCTGGTCGTTCTCCTCCTTCAACCGGGTGTTCTCCACCCCCAAGGACCCGACCATCCTTGATAGCTTAGCCAACTCATCCGTCTAGCTCTTCAGGATGAGGGCCAGCTCCTCGTTCTTCTTCTTCAACCGGGCTACTTCGGTCGGAGAGTCTATCCCCAACCGGTCAGCAGTGATAGGCCCAATCTCCCCAACCTGCGCAACATACAACAAGCCAGTCAATCCTAAAAATATGTAAGATAAAGATAGAACCGAATATGGGATACAACTTACCTCCCTCAGCCGCAGACCGAGGTTGATGTAGGCCTCCTCCACGGTCTGGTGGGCTACACCAGAGTCTGTCTTCTGCCTCTTGTTAATGGCAGAGGGATGGTTGGTGGTCGCCTTTTTCACCCGGCGACCGGTCTTCTCCTTGCCCTTGGAAGGGCTCTTCCCTTTTGACCGGGCGTCTTGGGGATCATCCTCATCCAGAATTTCCACGGTCTCTTGGTTTACCGGGAAAGTCCTAAAGGGAGGAGCAGGGCCGGTCCTGAGGATTAATCAGCCTGGGCCGAAACAAAAAAAAGGCCTTAAAAGTCTTATTCTTAATGATCTAAAAAATTCACATATGTAAACTAATTATATTTAAATTATAATTAACGTAATATTATTAGAATAAAATAATAAATGACAAACTTATATCGTGGAGACTTTCTCATTTCTTCATCTCGTTTTCTCTTTTTTTTTTTCTTTTTTGACTACCAGATAATTGTTTAGGAGTCATAGCTGTTGAATTATTTATGAAATAAAATCCAAATTCATAAATTATACTAAGGGGCTGTTTGGCAACTTCTGAATCGGTAAGTGTTGAACCAGTAAGAGGTCTGAACCATTAAGTGCTGAACCAGTAAGAGGTCTGAACTATTAAGAGCTTGTATATTGCTTAACTATTCAGAGGCAAATGTCTGATCAATTCAGATAAGAGGTCTTAACCATTCAGACTCTGTATAATACTTAACCATTCAGAGGCAAATCTCTTAACCATTCAGACATCTGAACCATTAAGAGGCTGAAACAAACAGTCTGAACCATTAAGTGCTGAACTATTCAGACAACTAAACCATTAAGAGGCTGAAACAAACAGCCCCTAAGTAAAATCAAGAATAAAAAACTGAAAAAAGCAAATAAATAAATAAATCATAAATTAATATCAATTCATCAATTTTTCTTTTTTAATGGTTTTTTTCTTTTTCAGTTTTAATTTTTTATAAATCATAAATTCATATCAATTCATCAATTTATCAATTTATCAATTTTTATTTTTTTTTTTATTTTCAGTTTTTTTAATATAAATATATAATTATCATAAATATAAAATTCAAATCAATTCATCCAAATCAAATAAATAACATATAGAACCATTCATTCATTCAATTTCAAAGATTGAAATTAAAAAAGATTTGAAATTAAAAACTAAGAATTAATCCTAGATTTTAAATCTAAAAAATGAAACAATGAAAGAAAATTAAGATTTAAGAAATAAAACTTAAAAAATTGGAAAAGGAAGGCTATGAATAATTACCTGGAGGATGGAGCCGTGCAGGTGGGCGACTCGGCGTCCGGCGATGGAGGCGTGCTGCGTGCAGGTTGGCGATTCGGAGTTCCGGTCCTTTCTTGACGTTTTGCGTTTCTTCGATAGGCACTTGCAGCTTTTCTTCCGTCTTTTTTGGTCTACAGAATACAAATGGACTGGGCTAGAGTGCTAGAGGCAATAAGTTAAGAGGTGGGTCATGGGTGGATTGGGCCTGGGCTTTTATACATATATATAACACTTAAAAAATATTTTTTTTGTGCCCCTAAAATTTTTGGGCCCGGCCCGGACGGACACCTTGTCCCCCTATTGGGCCGGCCCTAGGGAGGAGCTTGAGAGCCACCGGTCTCTCCTGTTGGCTGGTCATTGGGAATCTCGAACTCTTCGAACTCCATATCTGCAAAATCAAAGAACAAAGTATCAGTAATAGGACCGGTACAAGGAGAAAATACGAAATGAAGTGAAAAAAAAGAGATACCTAGGTGGGAGTTTCCCTCAGCTTCCGCAGTGTTGCCCGGAGAGGGTACCCCGTGCCCCGCTGCTTCATGCGCTTGGGAGGTACCCTCACCACCCGGTTGGATTCTCCAGACCCAACTTCCATAGTGAAATTTCCTCCCGGTGAACAGATCAACGCGAAGAAGAATCTTGAGGCTTGCTTCAAGATCAGGGGAGGATGCCGGCACGGTATACTCTTGGTTGAGGAGATGGTCGTTCCACTTTAGACCGGCCAGGGGAGTGACGAACGGGGGAAACTCAATAAAAACAAACTTTTCCTTCCATTCCCAGTTACTTTGGGGGACGTCGGAAATAAACTTCCTACCGGTTTGCCCTTTGAAATAGGCGAAACCTTCACAGCCGGTTCCACCCGGTAGGACTTCAAAGCAAAAAGGAAAAGACGAAGGGAAGGCTCGATGCGGAGGTGAGAACGGTTATTTACTAAGGAATGCAAATAACGGTGCGCGTTAGGGGTTATCTGGTCGGGCAAAATCCTAAACGCGTGACAAACCTCAACTAGGAGGGGGCGAAGGGGAAATACAATGCCACCGTCCAAAGAAACAATGTGGAAACCTATCCTATTCTCCCGATGGAGTTCAACTATGTTGGGCCAATCATTTTCGTATTGAAGGACGTACCCATCCGGAAGCCTTCCACAGACCTTATTTAAAGCGATTTTGGATACGTGGGAGGGAATGTCAATAACATAGTAAGTGGGGAGTGGAAAGTAACCGGCAGTGCGAAGCCGCTCTTCCCACTCCTCATAGGACTCGGTGTCAGGGTCATAGGGACCAGGTTGGTTATCAACCGGTTCGTCACTCTCCACGAAAACCTGACCGGGCACTTGGTTTACTGGATCTGGCTCGGGGACAGACGGGTTGGGGACCTGACCGGGCACGGAATCAGAGGAATAGTACCCGGCCGAAGAAGAGGAGGTAGAGTCTTCAGATGAGGAGTCATCTGAGGACAAAATCCTATGGCTACCTAGGGAAGACATGATCGGGAAAGTAATTAAAGAAAAGGAGGGAAGCTTACTTGACTCGGAGGTCTGAAAGGCGAAAGATGGAAACTTGACCGGTGAAAGCTCTGGAATTTAAAGTGCGAAAAGTGAGAAGTGAAGGAGGTTGGAGGTCCTTATATAGGAAGGGGAAAACCAAGAGAGGCAACGTGGCTTCTTAAGATTGCGCCGCGTCAGGCGGCGCAATGATGATAGGCAGGCGAAAGGACGGGTGGACAGCTAACCGTTGCAGCAGCTGGTATTCGACACGTGGCGAATTCCTTAGTGTTCAAAATTCGAATTTTGAAATTTTAAGGTGGGAAAAGACTAAAATTCAAATTTGACGTCCTGTTTCAGATTTTTACTTCCCGCTCATGACAATTTTCATGACCGAGAAGTGGAGGGCTTATTGATGGGTGTATTCCACCCAGGACCGGTCAAAAAAGAGGACTAAATAGTTGACCAGTCAAGTGGATCTTACTAGAAAGGGAGACCTTAATCGTCAGTAAAAGGATGTTCAATTGACTGAAAAGTTGACCGGTACACTTCGGATAGTATACCGATCAAACTACTTTATCGCCTCGTTCACTCTCTAAATGCGGTAAACTTACCCCTCGGAACTACACGGAGTAGTTTCTAGGGTTGGAAGATGTCTGCAGAAAAGAATCCAAAAGAGATTGGACCGTAGCGACCAAGATCTGCGGAGGATCGTTGGAGATTCTTGAACAATCCATCCAAAGTGCTACAAGACAAAGGGAGTAAGCTTCCTCGCAAGGTGACAAAACAACTAGAGGACGAAGGCTATCACTTCCCACCACCAGGAACGTGCCACAACGTGGGGGCACGATGCTTTGTCCCCTGAGTCTTAGTATAAATACTGCTGTAATCCTCAGAAGTAGGGATCCGAAGTCATTCTCTCTAAACTCCCTTGTAAAAGCTCCCGTGTATTCTCCTTTATTTATAATATCAATTGGGCTACAGGTGTTTCCACCTACAGTCCTCCCGGTCACTTAACATGTTTTTACCTTTTTACTTTCCGAATCAAGTAAACGATTTTAGACCTGGTCTAGTATAGTTTACCCGGTTAGGTGATTTACACCATCATTTTTGGCGCCACCCGTGGGACAGTTAAGGTTTCTTTTCATCTAAACACAAACCTACCCACAAAAACACCACTCAAAATGTCTTCAAGTCAACAAATCAATGCTACTTCTGCCACAGTATAGTTTACCCGGTTAGGTGATTTACACCATCAACTGTAGTGCTACAGAATCAAGAAAGGAATTGAACAAGAGAAACTTTTGATAAATGCTGTAAATTAAACTTTAAAATTGAAATATAAAAAAAAAATCTGAGTAAATTGAAAATTTTCGAAAAAGATCAAAAAAGTAGACTACATATTATCATAAAAGAGTAAAAAGTTTCCATATCCGTAAAGTAAACAATCAGGACCGAAACATATTATCAATCTTACTAACACTCTAAATTTTCCAAACAATCGATGGAGCAAAGTGCAATTGTACGAAGAATATAAGCATAAAATTTTAGAATTATAAACTGTAACCCTAACATTTCAGAAATTAACGCTTCGAATTTTATTCAAACGATCAAATCAGAAATTTAAAATCAAGAACTAAAATACAAAGATTAAAGTGAGAACATCAAGAATGTTTTCACGAGTTTACCTTGAGTTGAGACATTCGCCGATCTCCCCTGCTCGAGTTATCGTCGTCCATAGTGGCGCAATTCCGACAATTCAGCACTGTCCTCCCTTCTTGTGTTCTCTTCGCCGGTCGGCCGTCGTTCCGTCGCTCTCGCCTAGCTGAATCATAAGTCGCGCAAACTCTGAAATGGGAATCGCTCGATGACTTTTGGTAATATCAGATTATCAGTATGCAGAAAAAGAAAAACAGGTGGCATGTTTAAAAGTTAGGATACACCTTTTTATTAATTTTTAAAAATGTCATTCTTTGTATTTTAAAAAAAATTAAAGTATGAGTAAAAACATTGAAAATATATCAAAATAAAAGTTTCTTGTTTTTATTTCCGAAAAAGAAGTTAAAATGCATTTACTGTAACGCCCTGAAAACCAACTTAGTAAAAAGTCATTTTTATTAAAAAATAAATATAATTTTACTTCCTCCGTCCCTTTTTCCTTTTCTTGTTTTGACTTTCAACCAAATTAAGGAGCCAAATATCTTGCATCGACAGGACAATTTTGCCCTCAACCCTAATGAAATAATGGAAAGGAAATAGTGTAAAGTAAATTGTATTTAATGTAAAGTGTACTTGTCCATCAAATTTAAGAGTTGTTGAGAATAAAAAAACAACTCATTCCCTCCCACACACGAGGGTAATGAGTACAAATGTAAGAGTACAACAATAGCCACAAATTACATTCAAATACACAGCAAAACAAGTTTTTAAAAAATTTGGCTATTTTGGGAGAAATTCAAAATTCCCTCTAGAACCATTCCTCCAAAAATAGCAAAGTTTAACCAAAAAACCAAAGTTTAAATCAATGCATTCATTCATCCCTTATATTCTTTTTGCTTTCTTCTTCTTCAATGAATCCTCCTGTTGAATCCCCTTTGCACTCTCCCTCTGCTTCTTTTACTTTTTCAGAAGATGATTCTTCTTCTTTTGACCATCTTCCCGAAGTTATTGAAATGCCTCTCCTTAATCTTTTCACCCCTGAAACAGAAACAGAATCAGAAATCGAAAGTAGAGGTGCTTTATTAAATCAAAGAAGGAAAAGAATTGCAGATCAGTTACTACAACATTGTAGGAATGGCAAACTTCAGCATGGTACCATAAAAAACTGGCTGAAGAATTTAGCATTTCTAGTAAAACTATAAACAGCATTTGGAAAATAGTTCAGGCTCAAATCCATGGTGGTCAACCCATTGTTGTAGAGTGTAAGTGCAAAGGAAAGTGTGGAAGAAAAAGGATCCCTGTTGATATTGAAAAAATGGCAGCTCTACCTTTTAACACGCGCAAAAACATGTGTGCATTAAGCTATGGAATGAGAGTATCAAAATCCACTATCCATAGATAGCTTGAGTTCAAGCAGATCAGGAGGCATTCAAATGCCATAAAGCTATTACTGTGTGAATCAGGTAAGTTGAAAAAGCTTAAATTATATCAAGATCATATTTCTCCCCAATCACTCCCCATGAACCCAACATTTCATGACTTTATGATCATATTCATATTGATGAAAAATGGTTTGAGATCACAAAATTAAAGAAGTACAACATTCTATGCTCTACCTGATGAGATAGACCCATACAGAACCATTCAAAGCAAAAGTCACATACCCAAAATAATGTTCCTAGCTGCACAAGTGTACTTACAGGAGCATATGTGAGTACCTTTTGATAGGGTACTTATTTTGTTAGTGCAAACATGGAAAAGGAAGAGTACAACGCCTCTTGGTACTTCATGTGTACTACCTTTTGCACAATTTTTGGGATGGCTATTGACAAGTGTTGTATCTGACTTAGTAGGAGTTAACCTTGATATTGTCCAAGGTTTTTTGGGTTTTTGTAATGCAAGTGTAGGAAAAGAGGGTAGCGGTGCTGTACCTCGAGATCTGATTTTTTTAATTCGAGATTTCATTCTTTAATTATTCAAGGTGAGTTGTGGTTTATCTCTCATTAGAATTGATTCGTAGATTATAATTTGTTAATATATTATCGTTCAATTGATGTTGAATTTGTGATAATGATTGTTTGATTATTTGATTGATTCTGTTAAATATGGAACTGAGTTAGGTAAAAATTGAATTGAGTTCCACGCTCCTCCTTTCTATTCCTGATGTTCGCTATTTCTTTCCTCTGTGCTCTATTTAGTTTCTTTATTGCTTCCGCCGTTCGATGAGAGGCTACTACCGATGGTGGTCAAGGAGTGGGTGGCTACTGCTTTTGGGATGCCGCGGCTGATGTTGCTGCTAATATTTGGACGAGTGTTGTCGTTGATATAGGAACTAAAATGCAGTTTTTAAAATTATGGATTGGTCCCATGTTTTGAAGTAGTTTGTAATTTGATCTTTTATACCTTGACTTCAATAAGTAAGCAATAATCACAAATTTATCCAAATCTACCAACTAATGATTTGGTGATATTTATATGTTGAATTAGAATTGTAAAAATATTCCACCTAGTAGATCTAGACAGATCTGGATTGAATAGAGTATTGGAAATCACTAATAGAATTGAGATTAGAAATAAGATCATGTCGGTATCGTCGCACATTTGATGGTCTCGAGGGTTAAAAACGTACGTACGGAGGTCAGTGGTCCCCAGTGAGAGCCAGTGTGGCCTCAACCCCCTCCACTGTGAGAATTTTGGTGTTTGAGCGTGGGTTCATGTGAGAGCCTAAATTTCATGATTCCCATAAGAATGATGTGGGTAAAGCCTAGTAGCCTAGTGTTAGATATTTTCATGCTCAATAACGTGTAGTTAGGGATAGAGAATTGGATGAGCAACCTAGAATATAGTGATGGAGCGTGATGCTGGCGAATGGCCCAAAGACGTAATACCCCGTCTAAAGATGAGGGAATGAAAAGAGCTCAAAAGGATTGATGGTACTACTCATACAAAGAAGATGCATTTTCTTTTCGAGAGCTCATCACCTAAAAACTCCAAAATAAAGCGTGCTAGAGTTGGAGCAATTTTAGGATAGGCAACCCTGAGAACTTTCCTAGATGCGCACAGAAGAGGACAAAGTACAGAGGAAAGAGTTGTGTGGGTTTATGAAGCAAGACTACAATCCTATAAGCAGACTGTTGGCCTTGAATTCCAAGCCTCACATATGTTTTGATGTGCCAAATAAGCCTTCCAAATTGCTAACCTTTTTGCAGGAACAAAACAAATGCCAAACCTCTCCTAACTTGATTAGCACCACCAAGAAGTCACTCCTACAAGCGTAGAAATTTTATATGTAAGGGTAATGATATATTGTATGATTCACTTCTTCCATTACACTTAAAATAATCTTTATAATATGTTAAACATCTTCTTAGTTGGGGTTATTTTGAAAAAGAAACACAAAAATCAAATTTTGGGAAAAGAAACACAGAGTGATGGTACCTTGATACCGCACGCATGGTACCTTGATATCGTCTGGTATTATGGGACCGGACAAGGGTACCGAGAAGGTCCAGGTGGCTCCAGTGAGAGCTTTAATAAGGGATAGGACAGTACCCCCTTGCGGTAGGCCGTATCGTGGCAACGGTACCTCCGTACCAAACAATCTCTACATATCGGTACAAGTACTGAATCCGTTACAACACTATTCAAAAATCTCTATTTTGAATTTAATTACCCCTAATTAGTCTCTAACGGCTCTTTACGGATCCTAAGCATTTTAAACCTTCCCTAATCGTATATAAATCCCCTTTAGGTCTCATTTTTAATAGAGCAACATTCACTCTTATTCTTAAGCTCTCTTTATTCATTCTTAAGTGTTTACAAACCTATTTTGCTCTTTGTATTTTAAATCTCTTCTGAGTTAGCTTTCTATTTCATATTTTAACACTCACACAGGCGCTTTTCAGTTTTCATCTTTATAACTTTCTCATAAGAATTGTTGTTGTTGATTTCAGTTTTTCTTGTTTCTTCATCTACCTAAATCCTGAATTATATTTCTTGGTAGAGAAACAACACTCTATCTTCTCAATTTTGTAAGAGGTGTGGATAGTCTTTAAATCCTTTGTTTTGTAAAGGTGTGGATAGTCTTATAAATCCTCATAGAGATGTAACATTGAAGATAGCCTTAAAATCTTCATTTGTAAAGCGGTCGAGATAGCCGTTGTAAAATCTTGTTACTTATTGGCAAGGGTTGTTTGCCAAATCTCGTTTGGGTCTTCTTAGTGAAGCCAAACAAGTTAGTGGAAGTTAAATCTTTGGGGAGGAGCCTCGAGGTACTGGAGTAAGGAGTTGTTGAACCAATATAAAAGTGTTGTGTCGTGGGGTTTTCTTTCTTATTATTTTCTTTGCTTTTTTCCGCTCTTTACTTTCGTCTAAGTTTTTACTTTGCGAAAAACTTTTAAACACCCTAATTCACCCCCTCTTAGGATGTAACTGAATATCAATTGGTATTGAAGAAGGATGTTTTAACCTTTTCAAAATAATCTTTTGAAAACTTTTTCAAGACACATGGACTCAATAAACTCCCAAAGCATCACCAAGCCACCATTCTTCAATAGAGACAACTATGGCTATTAGAAAATGTGAATGGAGAATTTCATTCAAACCATCAATTTTGATCTTTGGATAGTTACTACTAACAGCTCTTACGAGCCAACCACTACTATAAATGATGTGCAGGTACCTACTCCCATGGATTAACTAACACTGGATGACATGGAAAAACTCTCATTGAATTCCAAAGTACTAAACATTTTGTTTTGTGCATTGGGTCAAGACAAGTTCTCAATAGTAAGTTCTTGTAAATCAGCTAAGAAAGCTTGGGAACTTCTTGAGGCTACTCACGAATGTGATAAGGATACCAAGGCTACAAAGATACCCCTCAGAACCTTCGAGTAGGAGAACTTCAAGATGAAGGCGAGAGAATCCGTCCAAGATATGAACAAGCGGTTCAATCTTATCATCAACAATTTCAGTAAGCTAAATAAGTTTTATCCCAAGAGTGAGATTAATACAAAAATTATTTTTTCATTACTTATAGATCATATCGCATAATTTGGTTGTGAACTTGCTTCCCAAGTGTGCAGAGGTTGAAACTTCCACCATTTGGAGTAGCATATATTTTCATGAGCTACTCTTGAAGAAAACGAAGGAAGAAGAACAGACCCCTATTCTTAAGAAGATAATGACTCTCAAGATTG